AACACTGGTGCAATATAGTGTAAAATAAAAAAGCATAAACAGGACCCTATTGCTGGCTAAGTCCACTCTTTAGAAGGGCTTTGATCAACTTTAAAAATAGTAGAGGACCGATATGCCATTGCTTGATTCAGTTTCTTTAGCACCCTTGAATGTCCTTTGGGATTTGGTCAGAATCCCATAAGGTGTGCAGTATCTGCCCCCCTCACATGGCTTCTCCTCCAAATCATAGAGTGTCTGTTTCCCTCTCATGATCAGTTACCAGCCCACTTGGGCAGAACCAGATTTCTTGATTTGGCCACCTTCTTTAGCATATCCATTGTATTGCCCAGGTAGACCTATTCAAATGTCAATGAGTCTGGATATTCCACTCAACCAAGCAAGACAAGGCCACATGACACACACACTACCCATTGGCTGCCTGTTTCCCACTCCTAGTGTCTCTGGAAAGTAGTTTATGCCTTGAGATCAAGTAACAAGGCACGCACAATTAAATAGATAACAGCGTAATGCATAACATTTCATAAAAGTAGTGCAGAAATCTTCCACATCCTTCACAGGGCTATTTTTCTTACTGCTGTAAACTCTGCTGAATCCCATGGAAGTGTGAAACTTGAAATCTATTGTAGTGTATTTTATTCCATTGTATTCACATATATTAATTTGTTGTACCTTTAGGGCCAAACGTTGGAATCCCAACCAAGCCAATTAAACTCTACAGCAGGGTTATCAGATCCTTTCTGTGGAAAGGACCGAATTGAATGTTTGTTTATGGTCCATGGGCCCGTACAACAAAGTTAGCAGAAGAGCAGATTGTACATTTTCTGATGGGACGTTGATCCATGGGGAAATGCTGTTTTGTCTAAATGAAAACTTTCCACGGGAACCTGTCAGTATCAGTGAAATTACATTTGGGGGGTGAGGGGGGGGGAAGACAAAGTGTTTTGATAATAACAAAATGGTTTTCAGAATGGAACTTTAGATTTTTTTTTGTTTCAAAAGACATTTCTATTCTAAAAAGTCTGAATTGAAAGAAAATATTTCCGTTTTATGAGATGAAATGTTTCTGTTAACCCAACATATATATTTTTTGTGGAAAATTTTGAAATTCGAAATGAGATGACAGAGGAGGAATATGATAGAGGTCTATCAAATCATAAGTAGTGTGGATAAAGTGAATAAAAGGAAGTGTTGTTTACCCCTTCACATAACATAGGAACCAGGGATCACCCAATGAAATTAAGAGGCAACAGGTTTAAAAGAAACATAGTACTTCTTCACACCATGTACCATCACTCTGTGGAACTTGATGCCAGGGGATGTTGTGAAGGCCAAAAGTATAACTGGGTTCCAAAAAGAATTAGAGAAATTCATGGAAGATTGGTCCATCAATGGCTATTAGCCAAGATGGTCAGGGATGCAGCCCACTCAGGGGTTGTCCCTAAACACCTGACTGCCAGGAGCTGGGAGTGGACAACAGGGAATGAATCACTTGAAATTGCCCTGTTCTGTTAATTCCCCTTGAAGCATCGGGCACTGGCCACTATCAGAAGACCTCATACTGGGCTAGATGGACCATTGGTCTGACCTAGGATGGCCATTCTTATGATGTTGTGTTCCAGTTTGGAATGAAAACAAATTTTGAAATGACGCAATTTCTGCAAAACAGAAATCCTGGCTCCCCGCTCAGCTCTTGTTAGCAATATATGCTCCCCTCAGCCCACCGCAGGTCTCCCACTGATGAGAACGACTTCAGAACCTGAAATTACTATTCAGTCTTTCCACCCACAGGCCACTCTCTAATAGGCTCCCAGTGAGAGTTTTCCCGAGTAAGGACTAGGTAAACACTGGTCTATACATTCTCAAGCACTTCAGAATCCTTTAGGATATGCTGAATATATGTAATAATAATGGAATATGTCTCATACCACACTTTTCATCCATAGATCTTACAGTACTTTACAAAGGAGGGGATGTGCCATTATTTCCATTTTACAGCTGGTGAAATTGAGGCACAGAGCGGTGAAGGGACTTGCCCAAGGCTACCCGGCAGGCCAGTGCCCGACCTGATTGCCAGTCCAGTGCTCTACCCACTAGGTGACCCTGCCGAATAAGACATTACTATTTCTTTGTAAGACTGTCAAAGAGTGGGAGGCCAGAAGGGACCACCAGGTCACCCCCAAGACATTTTTCACGTAGGTATGCACCTCCCACCACCCTGGCCCCTCTGCCCATGAACCTCTCTCCCCACTCCCTCCCAGGAGCCTCAGTCCAGGGAGCCCCTCTACTGGTCCCTCCCAGAAGCCCTCATTTCCCCTCACCCCTGGTCCCCACTCCTTACCCTGCCCTGTTGGTGAGCCTCAGGGCCATCCTGCTTTCCAGTGCCTAGAGAAGCAACAGCCTCAAATCACTGACAGGGATGCTCTGCAACCAAAAATCAGGTGAGTGGCACTGCTACCTCGTGCACAGGGGTCACCGTACAACTCAGTTTTTGCCCCACCACACCACTCCCCCCATCATGATGGAAGGGGCCACAGACCAAAGCTAAGAGGGCAGCCTACGTCTGCCTGGGGATCTCAGCCAGACAACCTTGAGGAGCCACTGGCGGGCAGGGCATGACAAGTAACATGTGTATGCAGGTGCCACTAGGGACCATTAGGATTGTCTCGCCTGATCTCCTGCATAATACAGGCCACAGAACTGCCCCCAAATAATTCCGAGAGCAGATCTCCTTGCAAAACACCCAGTCTTGATTTTAAAATAGTCACTGATGAAAAATCCACCAGAATCCTTGGTAAATTGTTCCAATGGCTAATTACCTTCACTGGTAAAAACTTATACCTTATTTCCAGTGTGAACTTGCCCAGCTTCAGCTTCCAGCCATTGACTCGCGTTCTGTCGTTCTCTGCTAGACAGAAGAGCCTGTTCCTGTTCCCGTGCAAGTACTTACAGACTGTAATCAAGTCACCCCCCGCCCCTCTTAACTTTGGGAAGATAAATAGATTCCAGGAGCTCAATCACTATTTGAGGCAGGTTTTCCAATCCTTTAATCCTTCTCGTGGCTCTTCTCTGAACCGTCTCCAATGTATCAACAGCCCGCTTGAAGCATGGACATCAGAACTGGGCGTGGTATCCGAATAGCAGTCACACCAGTGTCTAATACAGAGAGTGCTCGAACTTCCCTACTCCTTTTCAGTTTTCCCCTGTTTTATGTAGGCTTTTGCAAACAAATGTGGTGGTATGGGGAGGAACGGTCTATCAAATTAGGGCCTACGACCTTGGCAGTGTCCCTTTAAGATCTCCTAAACTTCTTAATATTGACGTCTTCCCATGTCAGCAGGATTTTCTGTACATCGCGAAGATGTGGTTGGAAGGGTCAAATGATTCAGAACTCCCCTGAGAATTGGAAAGTATTTTCCCTGCTACTTGAACCTAGCTGACAGTGAAGAAGCGAGAACGTTGCCCTAGGAACTGCTTGGGCAACATTCTCTTCTGCTCCTCCCATGTGTGACAGCCCATGCGGAGAGAGGCGGGCTGTGCGCGCTGAGAAGGGAAGCGTTTGCTGACGAAGTTTGTCAAAAATCCCATCTGCTCGTGAGCGGCGTGCACAGAACCCTGAGAAGCGAGTCATTTTCTGCCTCCCGCTCAGCCTGCTGCAGCATATTGCTCAGGGTACGTTTCAATGGTGTGCGCTCGGCAAAGAAGCATGCAGTGAAATCGGGAATGGATTTGTGGCACCGGGGGAGGAGGGGGGACATTACAGTTTGCAAATGTTTGCTAGAAGTAGAAAATTATTACTCCTGTCTATTTGAGTTACAGCCCAGCTTAGATGCCCCAACAGAGATCAGTACCTAGCACAAAGGGGACCTGTACAGTCAAGCTGCAAGAGACAGCCTCTGCCCCAAAGAGCTTACAATCGGCATAGACAAGACAGTACAGACACATCGTAAGCTCTTTGAGGCAGGGGCTGTCTCTTTCTACATGAATCGACAAGGCGGACAAAGTGTGGAGGGAGCTCTGGCCCCACTGTCAGATGGAGAACAGAGATGAAGTGACGTGCCCAGGGTCACACAGGATGTCTGTGGCAGAGAGGGGAATTAAATTACTAAGTTCTAGCTCAATGCCTTAACCACAGGGCCATCCTTCCTCTGTCTGTCTCCAGCTTTGCTCACAGATTGTAAAGCCTTTCACTGCTATGTTACTGGCTCAGTTCCCAATTCACTGGCAACTGAATATTATCATCTAGCAGCCATGTGATGGTCTCTGTGGACTGAGTGGGCTCTCTCAGCGCAGTCCTTAGCAGAGACAAGCAGCCACAGCTCACCAAAAGCCCCCCAGCACTTCAGCACCAGTTGGCCCCAGGGCTGCCAGGCTCAGCAGGGAGGCCAAGGATTGAGGGGGCCGTGGATGATGGGGCCCTTCTCAGCCCTGCCTCGTTGTCAGAAGTGAGGCATGTTAGCAGGGCAGTGTGGAGGCAGCTTGCCCTACCACAGCCCTGCTGCCCTTGTTCGGGGAGGGAGCGGGTGTAAAAAGAGACAGTAGTTCTCCGGGTGTCCCACATAATGAGTTGAGTTCTGGGCTCTGTGGCCCCTCCCTTATCCGAGGGGAGTGGGCCTTTCATTGGGGTAGGCTCTGCTCACCCCCACCCTACCCCCCCAGGATATAAGAAGGCCACCACCTTTTACCAGAAACCTTCCTTTTAAAATTAAGGAACAAAATGGTATTGAAGTCTCTGGTGGAAAATAACGGGAACGGTTATAGCTGTAGGGCAGGGAAGGTGACTTAGCCAAAGTTACACAGTAAGGCAAGCATTTGGAGCCCTGTGCTGACTTGGAGTGCTCTGCTCTAACCATTAGACCACTCTACCACCGTAGATACAGAGAGTAAAATTTCCTGAACTAGGTGAGCCCGTACCTTTCAGAAATCTTTTCTTTCTCAGGTTTTGTGTGTGTGTGTGTGTTATAATATATGCTGCCATTCACCCTGCAGGATGCCAGTGAATGTGAATATGCTACCTTGGTGCTATCCAGATGGTTACGGATATGCATGAGCCATAATGGATTGCTTTGTCTCTCATCTCAGTACTTCCTTTTCTTCTACCCTAAAATGTGAGGTGGTGTTGTCATGACTACTAAAAAGTGAACTAGACTCACTTTGGCAGCCTTTGTTCCTGGGGAGAGTCAGATCTAAAAATTGTGAGTTCTCTTTTTTGTCACTGATTGCAGAAAATTGTGTGTTCGCGTGTATATATTTCTATCTTTCTCTCTCTCTTTTTCTTTCTTTGTTTTTTCCAGAATGCCCTCTCAGCAGGTGCATGCAAGGGTATAATGTCATTCTGAGCTTACTACAATGTGGTCATTTTAATGTACCAGGATAATCTAAATTAATAACTCTTTCATTGCTCCAGGTTTCCAACAATCTTTCTGACAACTCAGAAGATCAATCTTTTCTAAGATCTTTTGTAGTCTACAAAGCCTTCCTGTACGAATGTATCACAAAACATTCTGATCTGTGTTAGAATCAGGGTCTTTTATTTTAATAGGACCTCCATGGTAGGGTATTTTCAAAAGGCGATTGAAGAGGATTGTCATCTATATTCCGTTATCAAATTAGATTAACACTTAGTGTAAATCGATTGAAGCCAATGGAATTCTACCAGGGGATGACTCTGGACTATTGATGTCAAAGTACTTTTCTTTTTGCATAAGAAGACTTGTGGCACCTTAGAGACTAACCAATTTATTTGAGCATAAACATCGGCTGCATCCGATGAAGTGAGCTGTAGCTCACGAAAGCTTATGCTCAAATAAATTGATTAGTCTCTAAGGTGCCACAAGTACTCCTTTTCTTTTTGCGGATACAGACTAACCCGGTTGCTACTCTAAAAACAAAGTTCTATGAGAAGTTTCCACATTGACTTTCTGCTCAATAATTATTGCATTGGAGTACAGTATATTTTGGGTGAGAATTTCAGAAGCTGGTCCCACTCTGCCCATTGAAATCAATGGGCATTTTTACCATTGACATCAGTGGAAGCAAAGTTAGACCAATGCTGAGTGCTTCTGGAAGTTATTATTTATTAATATTACGGTGGTACCTAAATGCCTGATCCCCATTGCGATAGGTGCTTTACAAATAGAAAATGAAATGATGCCCCTTTCCTGAATGACTTTCCGATCGAAGTATAAGATGAAAAGCTGTGGGTATTAGTGTAGATGTTTCATTAGATACTGACTTTAACAGACTATATTGTGATGCACTAAACCATAAAAGCTATTTAGACTACAAAACACTTCATGACAGATGTCAGTGACATAATACAACATCCATTACTGCTCAACATTGGTTACAGCTCTAACAGTAAATAGCAGCCACTGAATTCAGGTTGGAACCAGTCTGTGGGGATACAAAAGCAGGTGGATGAAGGGAAGAAAGAGGAAGGAGGCACATGATGAAAATCATATGTTCATAGATTCCAAGGCCACCATAGGCCCACTGTGATCATCTAGACTGACTTAGCCTGTATACACCGGCTATGGAACTTCCCCAAAATTATTCCTAGAGCAGATCTTTTAGAAAAACATCCAGTCTGGATTTTAAAATGGTCAATGATGGAGAATTCGCCATGACCCTTGGTAAATTGTTCCAATAGTTAATTTCCCTCACTGTTAAATTTTTTTTGTACACCTTATATCAGTACGATATGAGGAGGACTGAGACCTTGTAAATTACAAGAGTGAGAAGGAATAGCTGGCTATCACGAGGAAGCTGCGGTTCCTCTTTCCAGTGTTGCGGATGGCATCAGTTCTTGTTGCAAAGTTGCTTTGGGAAATACCATACCTTAAGAGTCAATAGTCCCACCCACTGTGGGTAAGTCAGTCTCAACAATTCCGCTACGTTTTAAAAGGGAGTTGCGTGACTTAAATCCCATGCTCCAGAAAAGAAGGTAGAAGGACATGAACATTATCTAAATTGTTTCTCTCTCAATTTTAGTTCTTATTTACTGACCCCCTAGAGTACCCCAAGTTCCTATTTCTCCGTGGTGGTCACATCCTGTGTGTATGTATGTGTATTATCATAGCGCGTAGAAGCCCCAGTAAGGACCAGGACTCCATTGCACTAGGCGCTGTACAAAGACAGTCCCTGCCCCAAAGAGCTTATACTCTAACTATAAGACAAGAGACAGCAGATGGATATAGACAGACCAACAGGGGAGTACAGGGAAGCGGTGAGACAATATAGAGACAAACAAGACACATTTACGTGGGCACCGGGTTTGTATACTTGTTGGTGCTGCCCAGAACGGGTCCAAGCAGAGCCGTCCTGCCCATAGGAGGGACTGGAACAACCACCCCAGGCCCCGTGCTTTGGGAGGCCCCGCTCTTCAGGGGGACACGGGGTCCAGGGCGGCCTGGGGGATTAGTGGGGGGCCTGGCACCAGCAGCAGCAAGTGAGCTGGCTCCAGCCCACCCCACTCCACCCCTCTGGCTCCTGGCATTGCTCAGGGGAGGGGGTCGAAGCTGGAAAGAAGCAGGGTGGGGGTTTGGGGGAAGGGGTGGGAGGGGGGTGGAGCAGGGGCAGGAAGAGACGAGGCGGGGTCTCGGGGAAGGGGTGGAGTGGGGGGGGGGCGGAGCAGGGTTGGGAAGAGGCGGGGCGGGGACTTGGGGGCAGGGCTGGAGTGGGGGGTGGAGCAGGGGCGGGAAGAGGTGGGGCGGAGCGGGGGGGCGGGAAGGGGTGGGGCAGGGACTTGGGGGCGGGGCAAGGGCTGGGAAGCGGGCAGGGCGGGGACTTGGGGGCAGGGCTGGAGTGGGGGGGCAGAGCAGGGGCGGGAAGAGGCGGGGCGGGGACTTGGGGGGCAGGGCTGGAGTGGGGGCGGAGCAGGGGCGGGAAGAGGCGGGGCGGGGACTTGGGGGGAAGGGCTGGAGCGGGGGCGGAGCAGGGGCGGGAAGAGGCGAGGGGGGCTTGGGGGAAGGGCTGGAGTGGGATGGGGGCAGAGCAGGGGTGGGAAGAGGCGAGGGGGGGGCTTGGGGAAGGGGCAGGAAGAGGCGGGGCGGGGCAGAGCAGGGCAGGCTGGGGCTGGGTTGCTCGCTGCTGTTGGCACCAGGCCTCCCACTAACCTCCCAGACCTCCCTGGACCCCATGTCCCTCTGTCCTATGGAGGGGACGGCTCTGAAAATATAAGCCCAAACACTGGTGGAGCCAGGCCCATGTTCCTGAATATTGGTGGAGCACAGGCACCATGGGCCCATATAACTTTCTGCCTGTGCACATGTATTCTATCCCTCTCCAGCCCCTTCATAGTTCCGTCTCTCCAGCTTCTCAAGCTGCTTTTGTTGCTCTTCTCTAAATCCCCTCCCGTTGTCTAAGTATTTTTGGTGCCCTGAACTGATCACATGTGGTCTTACCAGAGATGTATTAAGAGGGCATCTCTTCTGTGTGACATAATGCCTCTGTGTGTTCAGCCCCAAACTGCGTTGGCTTTTTTGGCTCCTGTATTTACACTACAAACTCCTATCCACCTCGGTGTTCGCAGTCACCGGACAGCATTACATGCTTTCTAAGAGCTAGATTCCAGTGCCCACTGAAGTCAGTGGGCATTCTGACACTGATATCTGATTTGTCCTTAAGTGTCCCGCACTCCCCAGCCCCTTTTGAATATCAACAGGTCTGATCATTTCCCCACCCCCCCAGCAAATGGAATTGTATGTTTACCAGCTGAATCTCATTTTATTAATCCCTTCCAATATCCCTAATTTCTCTAGATGGGAGAGGAATTATTTAAGCTCAGTACCAATGTGGACACAAGAACAAATGGATATAAACTGGCCATCAGGAAATTTAGATTTGAAATTAGACGAAGGTTTCTGACCATCAGAGGAGTGAAGTTTTGAATAGCCTTCCAAGGGAAGCAGTGGGGGCAAAAGATCTATCTGGCTTTAAGATTAAACTCGATAAGTTTATGGAGGAGATGTTATGGTGGGATAACATGGTTTTGGTAATTAAATATTCATGGTAAATAGGCCCAATGGCCTGTGATGGGATATTAGATGGGGTGGGATCTGAGTTACCAGGAAAGAATTTTCTGTAGTATCTGGCTGGTGAATCTTGCCCATATGCTCAGGGTTTAGCTGATTGCCATATTTGGGGTCGGGAAGGAATTTTCCTCCAGAGAAGATTGGAAGAGACCCTGGAGGTTTTTCGCCTTCCTCTGTAGCATGGGGCACAGGTCACTTGCTGGAGGATTCTCTGCTCCTTGAAGTCTTTAAACCACGATTTGAGGACTTCAATAGCTCAGACATAGGTGAGAGGTTTTTCACAGGAGTGGGTGGGTGAAATTCTGTGGCCTGCATTGTGCAGGAGGTCAGACTAGATGATCATAATGGTCCCTTCTGACCTTAGTATCTATGAATCTATAAAACCTGAATTTAGGTCACACTCAAAGTAACAGTGGATCCAACAAGCTGTCTCTTATGATCTATTGTTCTGCCTTTCATGAGCCATTGTTTTTCTAAGCGAGGGGGTTAGGTTTTCTATCTGAAAAGTTCGGAGCCGATAGCATTTCTTAAAACTGGATACTAATGTAGCTGGAGGAGTTTAATTTGTCTTTAACACCACAGCTACAGCACAACTATTGTCAAATCAGGGAACCCATTAACAGCACAGTTGCCCCTTGAGCTGCTTGCCACATGGCTAAAAGTTTTTGCGTTGACAGAACCTAACCTCATCTTGTCACTTGTTAAAATCCTGGGCAGTAGCATCTTTCATTGGCACAATTTCTGTTGGTGAAAGAGACAAGCTTTCAAGCTCCTCAAAGCTCTTCCTCAGGCTGAGTGGCATGGACAGAGTTTTAGAAAACTGCCATCTCTAATCCTAAATTCTGAAACATCACTTGCTCTCCGACATGCTACCAGGCAAGACTTCGCTTGGACTTGCGGGGCCAAGACGCTGTGGAAATGTTCTTTAATAACTGTGGCCATTGCATCAAGCACAAAGAAGAGGGCAGTAACTCTGTTGTGATCTCTAGATAGAATCATGGAAGGTGGGGGCCTTTCTGCAGATTTGATCACTGATCATCCTCTCAAAGGGCTCATTCTATCTGTTCTCGGATCTCTGCAGTGATCTGAAATGCTTCTCTTGGAGATTCTGTTCCAGTGGTGCTTAATATTAAAAGCTGTCTTCTAAGATCCACTCTAAC